CATTTTTGCCGAAACAAATGAAGTGTAAGTGAAAAGCCCTCCAAATAAGTTTTGTAAAAGCTAAAACCCATGCCCAAACTCTTTAAGAGCTAAGCCACTTTGTTTAAAAAGTATATCTGAGTTAAGATCCTCCATTTAAAAATTGATATTTTTTTATACAATTTTACCTTTTTTTTGTGGGAGTTCCCAACTAGTTTGTATGCTTGTATTCTGTCACTCACTACTAAAACTCAGTTTCCAACAAAAAAAAAAAAAACTTTTCAGTAAATTCATGTTGGGATAATAATGTTTCGTTTGTTTGGGCAGAAAATATTTTTTAAGGAAAACATTTTTCAAAAAATATTTTTCTATGTTTGGTGGTGGGACAAAGGTTGGAGCTAGAGGTGGTGGTGTGGTGGTGGGGTGACGGCGGCAGCGGTAGTAATGGTGGTGGTGTGGTGGTAGATGTGAGAGAAACGGTGATAGTATGATGACATTGGTAAGATTTTAATCTGAAAATCGATTTTCACTTTTGAAAGTATAGAACATTTTTTTGTTCAAATAGACTTCTTTTTCATTAACTTTCATTTTCGCCGAAACAAATGAAGTGCAAGTGAAAAGCCCTCCAAATAAGTTTTGTCACTCACTACTAAAACTCAGTTTCCAACAAAAAAGAAACTCGTCTTGATCAGAAGCTATAGCAATGGTAAAGTAACCGAAAAACTAGTGGGGTCTTTTCCCTTCTTTCTCTCTATATATTTGAAAATGCAAAATTCTATTTGATCATCCTTAAACCCATGCTTTAATAAGCATAAACCTCCATAGTCCAAGTGCCAACCATTTACCAATTTTTCAAAAATGATGTTCTACATTTAAATATTTCTATATTTGCAAATTACAAACTTAAGATTTGAATTCTATCTCTAAATATTTTTGTGGTGAAATTTTTGTGTACAATTTAATTTGATTTTGTGAAATGTTGTGTCCAGTCTAAGTGACTATTAGCAATAAATTATCGAGTTAGAAATGAGAGATCTCACTTAAAGTTATGTTTTTTTTTTTTCTTCTCTCATAAGTTTTGAGAACATGAATTATCTTACGAGAATATGGCCTACTCGAAGAAGAATGACTGTTACCATCTCTTTCTTCCCACTCTCATTCGTACTAGATTTAGAGGATTCATTTTCATATCAAGGATATAATGTACAAGGTGGTAATTAATTACGGGAACTCAATTAAGAGTTACATAAATTGTGTTTGTAAATTTGTCTAAATGACTTTAATTTCAATTCACAGGTGTTAGAGATTAATTACTCTTTGTTTTTCTTTTTTATTGTAATCCCAATTCCTTCTACTATATTTCTTCTTTTATATTCTATAAATTTTACCGATGTTAGGAAAGATAGTGAAATTTCTCTGATATTTAATTAGTGAAATTTCATTAACTTTTAGTTAATGAAAGTAGTAAAATTTCACTATCTCATTGATTGAGAATAGTCTCATTGAAAATTTCATCAATTTTTTCTTTCAAAGTTTTGGAGTGTTTTGAGAGGATGGTTAAAATTTACTTTTTGGCTTTTTTTTTTGACTTTTTTTGTGAAAGAGGGAAGTGGGTTAAAAGTTAGGAAACGCCGTTTAACTCACTTCCCAAAATAGGCGTATTCATCATAGGAATTTATTGATAGATCTCAATGAGAGAACTCTAAAAATACAATTTTTATATAAATCAAAGATCTAGATAAAAAGTTATTGAACTTTTAAATTTTCAAAATAATTTAAAAAGGATAAGGTGTTGAAGCTTTAAAGATGGGGGTATTTTGGTTTTAAAAAAAATGTTGACTAAAAGTAGGAAACATTTTGTTTTGGTCCTTGTAATAATATAAATTTATAATAGGAAAAATTACATCAAAGGTCCCTAGAACTTCTCTCAAGTTTCATCATGGTCAATGATGTTTCAATTTGAACATATTTTCCCTCCATGTGTTATTTGTGTGTCAAATAAGGACAATTGTAGATGGAAGTCAAGTTTTTGGATGAAAAATGGTCACATGCATTGCACATTACAATCTTTTAGGGGCAAAAATGGAAATATGCACTAGCCCATTGATTTCATTCACTTCAAGTAAGGGAGCTTCTATATACACACACCCTTTCCTCTCTATACAAATCTTTCTTAATACACACTAAAAAAATAAATCCTAATATATTTGACTCACTACACACACCTATCATTCCACATATACCCCCAAATGTAAATCATACACACACACCCCCTCTCACACACACACACCTGTGAGACCCCTCTCACACACACACACCCATCTGAGAACCCCTCTCACACACACACCCATCTCTCATACTCTCCACCGTTCCTCCCCAAAAGCTTCATCCATCTATTTGTGTCATTGAAGTTTTGGCATTGAAGGGCATTGAAAAGCATTGAAATTTTCACATTTTAGGTTAGTTTACACAGATTATAATCTTCTCATTCCTATTTTATTTGTAATGTAGGGTTAATTTTTACCATTTTCGAAATTTTCAGTCCACTGTGATTGCCGTGTTTCATTCGGAACTGGTTATTCGAAATTTTTGTTTTTGTTCGGCAGTAGAGTTCCGAAATTTCTGCTTCCATTCGGCACTATAGTTCCGAAAATATTGACTTGGTTCGGCTTTCAAGTGCCGAAAATAATTTTTTTTTTCGGTTTTCAACTTCCGAATATGAGCTATAATTTCGGACAACAACTTCCGAACAGAACAGGTATTTTCGGACAACAACTTCCGAACAGAGTAGGTGTTTTCGGACAACAACTTCCGAACAGAAAATATATATATATTTTTTTTTCCTTCTAACACTTAATTAAAACACTTAATTATAACACTCACTACACACACTCTCATTAATTTTACACACACTCTCATTATAATTTAAAACACTTATTATTTACACACATACTCTCATTAATTTTGCACACACACTCATTACACACACACTTATATTTTAAAACACTCTCATTAATTTTACACACACTATGTTTATTTATACACACACTCATTACACACACTTAGTATTTTTTGCAGATAATATGGATTCTGAATATCAACAATGTGTCCCACCTACTGCTTCAAATAGACGACGTCGTGAATTGGATGTAGACCATCAACGGGGACAAGGGCGTGAGCGAGGACGAGGTCAAGGTCGTGGTCGAGGTCGTGATCCAGTTTCGGTAGAATATGATATTCCCAGTGCCAGCCAAAGTGGGGGCCGAAGCCAAAGACGAGTTGAAGGTTATGATATGCCTGACATTGCTGCGGAGGATACCTCCTTACCTGATTCTCCTCCTGTCCAGGAAGAGTACCTTACTCATGCTTTTCCAGGTGGACCGAATGATCCGTCAATACTGCGGAGTTTCAATAGTCATGTGGCTGCAGCTATTTGGCACGGGGAGGTAAACATTCCTCAGTAAAATTGAAATTCATTTGTATATGAGTTGTTTTTTTTTTTTACCATTAATCTAATTTAATCATACCTAATCAGTTTTCAGATAACTTCACCATAAAATTACATAAATTATGTTGATCAAGACACACTAATCAATTTTGGATTCGGCCGCCGATAAGGCCTTCAATTTGCAATTTAAACATACAAACAGGAACAGATAGTCAAACAGTCAAACAGATAGAACACAATTTAACACACACATACTCAGTCAATTCGATTCCAGTTTTCAGTCAGTCAGTTCAGTACCTTAGGTAGTTCAATTATCAGTCAAAATCAGTCTCGGTTAACAGTAATTAGCGGTTAATCAGTCATTAATCGGTAAACAGTATGAGGGTTGTTACAACAGGTTATTTGGGATCCATACCACAGCTGTAGAGACCGACATCCATGTAACTCGGTTACGTTCTACCATGGATGCTTAAAGTGCTTAGACGTTGTCGAACCCTATCATCCAGATAGAGTTTTGAGGCAGTTTGGCAGGGTTTAAACCATCCCAGATGCACCGCTAGCTCCCAGTCGTGGTTCGCGAGGCAACATATCTGCACGATATACAGTCATGTACAGATACTTGGATAGGATCTGGGAGGCTTGGGATAACCACGTGTTATCTGAGCAACAGAGAAGCACAACAGTTCGTCAGCCTTGGGAATGTGTACCGGGTTATATGGATTGGTATAAGAATATCACGCACCTATATGTCGAGCACACTGATAAACCGCGTGTCCATGACCATCAGGATTTCAACGAACATGCGGATGTAATCTATTATCCTCTCTTATGCATATGTAACTTACTTTTTTTTTTTTTCTAATATGTTCCCTAAAATGTGATATTCTTTTCAAATACAGCGTATTGCACTTGCACTGCAGATTTCACATCCTATTATTGACGCTGGTTATCAGGAGGGGATTCGCCATCCTTATCGACTTTACCAGGCTATCGAGAGTATGACACATGTTCTTGAAGGTCAGCACATTGACGAAGCTGGACCTAGTTCTGCTGGAGGTCGCTTTCCATCTTCGACATTGACATACAGTCGTAGGCCTAGGAGTAGGCATACAGCTGATTCGTGACATGTTATTTTGTTAGTTGATGAATCTTTTTTGGTGTTTTTTGTAAGATGACATTGTTGTAATGGTAACAGTGGTTAATATTTTCTTATTAGAATGGAATGGCAACAATGGTATTGTAATGACATTGTAATGACATTTTATTATTAGAATGGAATGGTAACAATGGTCGTTGATTTTCTAAATGATATTTTCTTATTACAATGGAATGGTAACAATGGTCGATAATATTCAATCCACATTGCAAAACATAACACAACAACATAAAAAATACATCCATTAATTTCTTCCATAATTCTAACATTGTCAAATGCATACATGTGTCATGCGACATCAACAACATCAAAAGTCTCTCGAGTAGCTACATTATCATGAATAATGTCCTTGAAATGTTGAATGCGACGCACATATGCATCATCCTAGTCGACAGCGCAAGGGTGACGATATTTTCTCTAATTAGTGGCAATAGGAGGAACTAGATGGCCTGGTTGCAACAAAACCTGCACCAAAGATCAATTGACTTAGTGGTCATACCTCATAACTTCTTGTACATGCACAAACCCAATTGATAAGTTTCTGTTATACCTGGACGAAATGATTTCCGTTGACAAACCCAATGGCAATCTCACGTCTATCAAGTTGAGGTATTGGTACTGTTCTAAGAGGTAAAAAGGTGAGACATTGTTGTAATGACAAGTGGTATAACATAAGATTGTAGCACGATGCAACAAGATGCCCCATGTCTGGCATAGTCATCCAATGTGAGTATCCAGGACTGTCTTCAAAGTATGACAATATGCTTGTCAATTCTTCAAACCTTTCATAGGACCCATAAAGTGTAATGTATTCCTCTTTGTGTGTGTGCAGCTCACCCAATAGGTTACGCCTAACCTGAGCCCAATCATCTTCTGTATGACCAATTGAAGCAGCTATAGCCCTGAAACCACAATTCCCATCTGCAGCTACATCTTTGACAAACTTAATGTATGGTTTCAACCCAGCAGGGAAAGCATCAACATATGCACCAGGTTTCACTGTTCTAGTAATGTATGCCTTCCCTTTCGGATTCACCTTCTCCTTTCCCTTAACAGGTCGCTTCTTCTTGGTTTGCAGAGTAGAAGCTAATGTAGTGATTTGCGTGTCCCTAGGTGAGAAGGAATCATGTCCAGATTGCACTAACTCAAATGCGCACGGGTCACGACGGGTAGAAACATTGATCTTCTTATGATCCCGAGGACGTGTTTTGGGCTTCACCTCCGGCTCAACAAGAAAAGTGCTTCCCGGATATACAATCTCTTTCAACTTCTTCAAAAGCTCCAACCGCATGGTTCTATCACTTTCATTAAACTTGTTCACAAACAACTCTACTTCTGCATGACAAGTCACCTCCGTTTCTTTTTCTTTCTTACATATGGAGATATGAAGTTGCCTCAACTGTGAGTGTATGGTAGCAAGTGGCATAGGACGATCTTGTCTGATGTAGTTAGCAATCTCATGGGCGCAAGGTAAACCATGAGTGTGGCGAAGGACGCATCCACAAGCTTCAACATCAATACCAATGGAATTGGCTCTCTTACTCTCGACAAGCAAATACTCCAATGCAGAGATAGACACATTCCCCCGTAGCTCCCTGAATTGAGAAGGTTTAAATTGATGTTGCACAACAGTTAGACTTTTCTCAAATGAAGCCTTGATATCAGTGTGTTGCAACTCAAGCAGACTGTGTATTTTCTCAAATGATGCCTGAAATGAGACTTGACATGAACCCAATTGTCTTTTAAGTTTTGCATGTGCACTCTCAGCCCTGTTCAATTCAATGTAAGTCAAAGTTAAAATCAAGTACATGGCACTTATTAATAACATATTGAAGAAAAGTAATCTTATCGGTTCGTTGTAACATTGCCATAATGCATACACGTATCTGTCCATGCCGCCACAAATTTGTCCTTGTAAGGAACCAACCAAGTATCCATGACGTATTTGACTGCATCAGGATAACTACTGAATTCCTTAAGTAATGATTTAAGACGCTCCTCGTATTGAATTTCAGAAGATGAATACACTACAGAGTTCCACTCATGGTTGAACTTCTCCCATTTTTGCTGTGTCTCAAACATTTTCTTGCATTTGGTCAATACATTCTTACTGATATGCCAACGACATAATAAATGTCTGGCACTCGGGAATATCTTCTGTATGGCATTCATCAAGGCTAGCTCTCTGTCAGTAACAATAACTGTTGGCACAACAAACCCATCCATGACATCACGTAATGTGGCTAACACCCACGCATAGTTATCGACCCTCTCATACTGTAAGTATGCAAAAGCTACAGAGAATGTCATTTCAGTTGATGTCACTCCCACAATTTCAAGAAGAGGAAGCCGATATCTGTTGGTTTTATATGTGCAATCCATAATTAATATACGTGGGAAAGACCGAAATAAGTCCAAACTGGTAGGATGTGCCCAAAACAAGTCAATCACAGTCATCGTGGACTCTTCAGACCGATGGCGCTCAATGTAATTATACTTGGCCAATTCACCCAATAAGTGTTGCATCTGTGATCTTCCAGCTCTCTGTACCACCCTATTTCGATGGCGTACATTGTAAATGGTTTAAGTGTGCTTATATTGAGGGCATCTCGCTATTTTAAGGTTACTAGGATTTCTTTTGGCCGAACCATGCTCTTTGACATATCCATTAACAATGCTTTCTCATCCTTGGATAGCCTCCCCGCATATGAATGTCCCTCGAGGTGCTCCGCAGGTGGATGATTATGCAATCCGCATACTACAGTCAATGTCCATTCATCATATGTGGCAAACCTGTGAGCCCTCATATCAAAAGGACAACCACACTTCTTCGTACCGGTTATTCTTGATGTATTGTTGCCATCATGTTTTAACTTCTTTGTTGCTCTATATTGGCCACTCCTCTCACAAGCAAGATACATCCTGGGTCTTTTTTTCCCTCCACCATAGTCTGATGTTTTGATTACAATGACCAAACCATTTATCTTTCCAACTTCATGTACCCAGTTAAGCAATTCATCTTTACTTTTGAATACCTACAAAGTTAAATAAATATTATCAAACATTTACATTTGGTGAGCAATTCAAAACATAATCGTTATAATTTCGTAGACTGAACCTGTTCAGTTGTGAAATGAGTGGTGTAATCTAACACAAAATCCGCGCAAACCTGACTTCCTTGAGTTGACACATATTCCTGCATGTTTTGTATAACATTACAAATTTTTAATGGCATTATAAAGATTAATTTGCAATTTGAAACTGTAAATTTGGTATGCAGTTTGCAAATTTGGAATATAAAATGGAAAAAAAAAAAATTTACTTCATTCGGAAGTAGTTGTCCGAATGTTTTTCCAAATTTCGGAAGTAGAATGTTGTATAAGTTAACATTTTTCGGACAACAACTTCCGAATTTATATACATTTTTCGGACAACAACTTTCGAAATTTATCACTTTATTCGGACATCAACTTCCGAAAATACATAATTATTTCGGTAGTACATTTCCGAACAAAATAACAAAATTCGGCACTGGTTATCCGAACGACGCTGCGGAAAAAAAAAAATTAAACTCACATTTCCTTCGCTCTGCTTCACATGAATACTTATTTGCTGATTTTCAGAAGACAAATCCTCCATCACAAATATAAGTAATGAAGAATGAGGAAGGAAGAATGAGGAAGACAGCTTGTGGAAGGAGTGTGGAGCTTGTGCAAGGAGTGTACACTAATGAAGAATGGAGTAACTTTGGAGCTCTGGTATGGAGTAACGTGTGTGTGTGTGTGGATCATTTAGCAAAATGAGGAAGCAGAGGCATTGCAACGTCTGTGTGTGTATTGAGAGGATGTGTGTTTATTTGAATTGTGTGAGATGTCTATAATGGTAATTTTATTTAGGGATAAAATTGTAATAAAAATAAAATTCATTAAGTGTGTGCAAAGAGTGGAATTGGTGTGTGCAAATAGAGGCTCCCTTTAAGTAAGCTGACTCACTAACCTTGCGTACCTACCAACCCCATATCACCACTAGATTCACCACGTCACATGGCAACACACAACAACACACTCTTCCTTTCATCTGCTTCACCTACAACCTCACTTTTCCCTCTTTTCCTTTCTTAGATCAAACTATCGTCTACCAATTTCTTTTCACTCTTGCTCAAACTACTCTTCCTCTCTTCCCTGACCAAACCATTACACAACCCATCTCAGCACAAATCAATCTACATCTAATTGCATAAAACCCATCATTCCAATCCACAAATTGAATTCAATTTACATGTATGTATATGTGTGTGAATATATATGAAACAAAAGCAAACTAATTGCACAAAACCCATCATTCCTCCCCCCTCCCTCTCCCATAAATTCAATATATATGTGTTGTGTGTATATATGAGACAAGCAAAAGAATTAAGCACATTGGTCAAACCTACTTCAATTTGTATATATTTGTGTGTATATGTGTGTGTGTGTGTGTGTGTGTGTGTGTGTTTGTGTATATAAAAGCTTTTCACTACATGTTGGAGTGGATTCAATGGTTTGCTTTGTTGAAGAGGCAGATTTCGATGAGAGGATTTGAAGTTAGATTTAGGGTGGTGAGGGTGGCGGGGTGGTGCGAGTTTGGTAGTGATGCTTTGATTCTGATGGTGGTTCAAGAGTGGTAGGAGGTGAATTTTGGGTTGATAGAGTGACGAGATTTGCAACTATTTTTGGGTGGATTTTTTGCTAGTTTAAAGTTACTTTCATGAGGTGGTGGTATGGAACAGGAGGTGTTTTGGTGGTGGCTAGTGGCTATGCATATTTGGAGGTGGTGGTTGGTGTAAGAAAGAAAAAAAAGATGAAATATGGAGAGGGAATAAAAAGACTATTTTGTCCTTAAAAGATGGTCATGTGCAATACATGTGACCATTTTCCATTCAAAAATTTAACTTCCATCCATAATTGTCCTTATTTGACACAAAAACAAAACTTGGATGGCAAACATGTTCAAATTAAAACATTAGGGATTAAAATGAAATTTGAGAAAAACTATAAGAACCTTTGGTGTAATTTGCCCTTTATAATAAGGAAGCTCTATCCAAATCTCTCAACCCTATCAATGTCTTGCACAAACCCTTTATCAGCTTCAAAGTTAATTTCCATGGATTATTAGCTTCAAAGTTAATTTCTATGGAGCTTTAATGGAACAAAAATAAACTAGGCAAATATTTTAGAAAAAGTTTCACAAAAACAAACTTTTAAAATATAGCAAACAAAAATATTTTCAAAATAAAATTTGTTTGGGCACAAAAATTAAAAGCAATTGTTTGGTTTTAATTTTTTGAATTTAATTTTCTGAAAATTAATTTTTTTATTTTTAATGAATTTTTTAATATTTATTTATTTTACTAGATTTCAAAAACAAAAACAATACCACACAATAGCATTACAATCTGACGTGTCACACATGACTCGTATGGGCCCAAACTGCAATCCAAGCCCATAGTTTACATAGACTTGGTTGAAGACTTTTGGCTAGGAGTGTAAAAATGACTCACGGTCCGTGGGCGGTCTAGGGTGGGCTCGGTCAGCTTAGGCCCGTTTGGATCCAAGCCCGAGCCCAGTCCAAGACCCTAGGCCTGGGTCTGTGCCATCATTTTGAAGCTGGCCCGCCCTGTGAGCCCAACCTATCATCCCGCTTAAGGCCCACTCAAGGCCCGAACCGGCCCGCGCTGAGGCCTAGTATCTTTTTTTGTGACAAATAATAAAATTTTAGTAAAAAAATAAAAAATTAAAAAAAAAATGATCAGCCCCACCCAGGCCCAATCCACCGACCCGCCCAAGGCCCGAATATCCCTTGGGCCTAGGCCTAATTTTCTGACCCATGGGCCAGCTCGATCCGGCCTAAATTTTGGCGAGAGCCCATAAGGCCCAACATGAGGTTGGTCGGGCCAAATTTACATCCCTGCTTTTGGCCTTCACAATCATTGTTTCTTAGCCATACAAGAAATCTAGGAATCAATCCCATATCTATATATATAAGAAGCTCTATCCTACTTATAGTTGATTTTTTTTTTTTCCTTCTTATTTTGAATAATTTATTAATAACGATCTATATGTTGAGTGAAGTTTTTTTATAATTACGTAAATATTTTTGGTCAATTCTTAGTTCTATAATACTAGAAATTGCAACTGTCATTTATTATAAATTTTAATTTAACACAATAATCAAGAAAAAAAAACTATTCTCCAATGTAATAATAAATTATCAAAATTGTTTATTGAAAAATATTTCTCATATTATTAAAAACTATTAATTGACTTAATATTTTATTTATTAACAAAATGGTTTAACTGGAAAATATTTTTCATAACATTAAAAACTATTAATTTACTTAATGATTTACATATTAATAAAATTGATCATTTATTATGCGAGTATGATTTATTTATGAATAAGATTGGTCATTTGTATATATGTAATTTTTTTATACTTCTTTATTAGTTCAACGAATGTGATATCCCAACCTGTATTATGCTTAATTATGCATGTGATTATATGTTTGATATGAATTTGTAAGTTTGATTATGTGATTTATGTGATTTTGAATTTATATTTGTTGAAGTGTAGAAAAATTTGTTACAAGTACGACTTTGAACTGAAATTGAAAGCCTTAGAGGTGCGATAAGCCAAAACCGACTTCATATTTGTATTTAGCATGATTTTTAGAGCTTATTGAGAAATTTTGGAAAATTACAAATCGTAATGAATTAATTAAGTTTAACTAGCCAAACCTAGATTAAGCTAACCTAAGTTGGTTTAGCCTAAGTTATGTGTATCTATATGAGCCTTAGTAGAGTCTTGGGCTTAGACTCAAAAATATCTCCTGGACAGATAGAAACAAGAGAAAGATAGAGAGAAAGAGGAGAGCTCCAATAATTGTAGAAGAGGGCTAAGAATTTGAAGAGATTCAAAGGGAAATTGAAAGATTTGAGTTAAGGTATGTGAATTCAACTATAATCTTTGTAGATACTTCATCTTTTGCATGAAATCAAGAAGAAATTGAAGATTTAAAACCTAAATTAGTTAGGGTTTTGAGGTTATGTGATTCTTTGAACCAAACTTAAGAAATTAGGCTTTGATCTTCAAGATTTTGTTTGATTTAAGTTTAATCTTGTGATTCATTCATGAAATGAGTTCTAGGGTTTGTAAATAATAAGATTTTGTTGAGAATCATCCACGTATAAAGTGTATCTACATGATCTTGGTCATTTATTATGAAATCTTGAATTTATGAAAAGATGAGACTTTGATTTTGAACTCTAAGCAAGATTGATGTGTTTGAGTTGTGATTACACTTGTATAAGGTTACTATTTCATGTTTTAAAGGAAGATTACTT